CATGGTCTCTGTTAGAGGAGCAGGTGACCTCGGGTCGCTTCTGTGGTGGCTTCTGGATTTAAGCGGGGCCTCATCCTGGGCCCGGATGTTCACCTGCCCAGTGTTCCTGCGCAGTGGCCCTGTGCCCGGGGAGTTGCCTAGTCTCTGTCTTGCAGGCCCCAGGCCCCTCGCCCCAGACCCACCCTCATAAGCTCTAGCTTTGGCAGTCTTGACACTCTCAGTTTCTCACTGGCCACAGCCTTTACCCAACCTCTGACATGAAGTTCTGTCCCTCTTTCCATGTTCTCACTTCCCACAGTGCACAGTGCTTCTTAAACAGTGCGTGTCGCAGGTGTTCTGACCTTGAACTGGGGCCTGTGGGCACGCACCTCTCCTTCCGTTTCTGAACAGTGGTCAGTTTGCTCCTGGTGGCAAGATGGCGGCGGGCTGGCCCTCCTCGTGTGTCAGCACTAGGGTACTTCTTAGGGACGGTTTTTCTGCCTTCTCTGCTCATATTAACTTAGGACGCAAACTGGCCCATGGCCATGGGGGAATCGTGGCCTGGCAGCCTGAAGCCAGGGATAGGGGTGTGACCAAATTTGGGCCGAGCTCTGTTTATTTAGCCTTACTCTCTGTTTTTGTTTTCTTTGCAGGGAAGGTCTGTTTCTTTAACAACATTTTATCGAACAGCAAGAAATATCATGAACATGTGCTTCAGCAAGGAGCCGGCGCCAGCTGAAATCGAGGTGGGTGCGCCCGCCTCCTGCACCGGGAGACTCAGGGAAGCCTGCGAGTTGATCGTGGGGCCCTCCTGGGGCTGAGGCCCTGGGGGGTCTTGAGCAGCCCTCCTCGCCTTCTGTGCTGGCAGTGCAGGCGAAAGGTCTGACTTAGGTTAAGCTTGTTTGGCGGCAAAAAAGAAAAAAAAAATAAAAGGTGAGCTGCCACGGCTTCTCCTTACCAAACCGGAGACAGTGAGATGGGAGCAGGGGGCGTTTGCGCTTCAGATCTGACCACACTCGACCTCCTGCTCTGCCCGCTGCTCCTCGCCTGCTCTCCGTGCGTCTGCTGAGCAAGAGAGTGTTTGGAATTCATTGGAACCGCAGTTGTGCTTTTCTCCTCTCCTATTTTTTATTTAATGGGATTGGCAGGTTGCCATTTTTATGCTTCTGCCAACCCTGTGTTCTTTGAGTTAGTGTGAGGTTAGAAAGACAGTGGGCACTTTTGTGTCCAAACCAATTGAAGGGGGTTTGGTTTGTGAGGTGCTACAGGACAGAGACCGGATCTTTTGTTTACCTCGCCGGCCAGTGCCCAGCTCCGTCCCTGTGAACCTCCAGATTTTGACAGCAGCAACCGGGGAGACTGACCTAGTACCGCTGGGTGTGGGCAGTGCTGGCGGGGTGCGGGAGGGGAGGGGGTTGTTTTTTTGCTCTCACAGCCGTCAGGCCTTGGTGGGGTATAGGCTGGTCTGTGACACAAACTGACCACTACGGGGCCCAGTGGGTTGGACCATGCGTCCCGGGAGAGAGGCTTTGGAGCCCTGTGGTCAGCCCAGGAGCCTGTCTGCCGCTCCGTGTCGGGCCGTGACGCCCTCCACCCCACCCAGAAGCCCTAGTGTTCAAGCCTGATCTCCCACTTGGTTAATTCCGTGTTTACTTTAGTCTTGACTCTGATTCCTATCGGGCCTTGGGGTACTAGTGGGCCCAGTTGCCCCAGTCCTGTCCCCTGGGCACTATCTTTGAGCACCCCGCCCTATTTCCTTGCCCGAGCCTTGTGGCTGTGGTGACTCACCAGGCACTTCCCCACCTGTCACCCACGACGCCCTGATTCAGGGACACGTGTGTCCATGGCAGTTTATTCTGGAGTCCCTGGACGTGTGGGAGAGCGGGCAGAGGCAGCCGCGTGACTGAGGGTTGAAAATGCCAGCTGGAAACGCGTCCTTGGTTGTGCAACACCCGTCCTTGTGGGGGCCCCCGAAGGTGTCGGGCTCATTGTTCTTTGCAGTATGAAGACAACGTACTTATTTGAGTTTCCTCAAATAAATTAATTCCCTGAAAAGGTTGTGTAGTTGAAACACGAAGACTCCCACCATCTTGGCTGGTGGCCAGCAGCTGGAGAGGCCCGACTGGGCCGGGGTGGCGCGTGTCTGCTCACCTCCCAGAGCCGCTGTCACTCTAAGAACTGTCACTCTAAGGGCTGGCTCTCCCCTCAGAAGGCCTGTTGCTCCTTCCCTTCAGGCTGCTGAGTGATGTTGGTTTCTTCTGACCGGTGGGCACCTGCAGTGCGCCGGGGGCCTCGAGGGTGCTGTGAGCCCTGCTGCAGGCGTGCGGCCAGGGCCTGCTGGGCTGTGAACGTGATGGGGCTGTGGGGTTGCCAGCCTCAGAGAGGGCGGTGGTGCCCTTGGGGTGCAGTGCCCCGGGCGGTGCCGTGGTAGGTTGCACCTGCTTACCTGGGAACAAGACACTTCCCACCCGCCTTGCCCATATTTCTTTGGATGGGACATGGCTGTCTCCTGAAAGCCTTCGCAAGCGGCCGGCGTTTCTCAAGCTCTCCGGCCTGATGGGGGCAGCCTGGGTAGTATCCAGGGTGGACATGGTCTCTGGGCCCCCGGTGAGCCGGTGGGCGTGCCGCGAGGAAGTCAGGGTTGCTGCATAGCTGGAGGTGTACCGGGTGGGTGTCCACCTGAGGACGGGGACGGGGCGTTGTGAGCCTCCTTCCGTCGCTGCTTCTCTCCCCATCTCCCGCCTTTGCAAGGTGAAGGGCGCCTCGCTCAAACTACTGCCGCCCCCGCCCCCTCGGCAGTGTTTGGGTGACAGCAGTCTGGAGCGCGCCCCGTCGCTGCCCCCAGCTGTGACGGCGCCTGTGCCTCCAGCGCCTCCCGGGGTGACCGCTGCTCTCACTTGGCCCGATGCCAAGGTCCGTCGGCGTTGGAGAAGGCGCTGGCTTTAGACCTGCTCTCCTTTTAAGGCCGAGGTGCCGGGACCCCCGTGCTTTACCCGCCCCCAGTGGTTGCCGCCCCGTTCTAGCTGTGGCGACTGCCGCGAGCGTGTATGCGGGCACCTTTTGGTGCGGTTGGACTCGAGGCGCCCAGCCCCTGCCTCGCCGAGCGTGGTAGAGGAGGCCGGGCACTGTCGTGTGATGGGGTCCTTCGCCCCTTGGGAACGCGCTGCCTGTGGTGAGCTCACGGCCGTGCCGGCGCGGGCGCTGACGGGCCCCTCTCTCCGCAGCAAGAGTACTGGCGGCTCGTGGAGGAGAAGGACTGCCACGTGGCCGTGCACTGCGGCAAGGTGGACACCAACACCCACGGCAGCGGCTTCCCCGTGGGAAAGTCAGAACCGTTTTCGAGGTAACCCTGGGGTCTCCTGGGTGTGTCTGGGGGCGTGGCTGGAGGGAGCGCTCTGTGACACCCCGTGCTTCCCTCCACAGGCATGGATGGAACCTCACCGTCCTCCCCAATAACACAGGGTCCATCCTGCGTCACCTCGGTGCTGTGCCTGGTAAGCGCAGGGGGCTGCTCCTGGAACACCCTCCCGGCCTGACCGCACCCCCACCCCCAGTGGGGCATTGCCGATTCAGCATGGCCAGCAAGGGGCAGGGGAGTTGGCGTTGGCGATTGGAGTCACTTTGGCGTTGGTATTCTCGAGCCAGTGTCCTGATTCCCTAAGGCCAGTGTCCTGGGGTGTGGTCAGCGATGATGGGGCCCCCCAGACAAGGGATCCTGGACTCCCCAGGCCTTGTGCTCTTGCGTCCAGCACAGAGAGGAGTCAGGCAGCCCCTGGTCTCAGCCTGAGATAGAGCAGCCCGCGACTGGGGACGAGGTGACAGTGATCATGCAGTTGTGTTCTTGGTGACATCTTGCTGCCCGCCCAAGCGTAGGGTGTGCCTCACACGCCTTGGCACGCGTCCACCTCTGGCCTCTGTAGCGAGCAGGAAGGAACCCTCCTCTCAGTTTTTCTGTTTTCAACCCCTGCCTTTGGGGGCAGGGCGGCCGTCTCTCCCCGCGGCGCCTCTGAGCCTGGTTGCCCCTTCACACGGCTGCATCTCCCTTCTCGTTCCAGGAGTGACTATCCCCTGGCTAAATATCGGCATGGTCTTTTCTACCTCATGCTGGTCTCGAGACCAAAACCACCTTCCCTACATCGACTACTTACACACTGGTGCTGACTGCATTTGGTGAGTAGCACGGGCGGGCTGCGCTGGGGGGCGGCCCGGGGCCCTCACCCGAGAGGTGGGCACCTCAGCAGGGCGTCTGCTCCCTGGAGTGCTTGAGGTGGCGGAGGGTATTCCAGCCTGCTGGGAGAGCATTTCACATGCCTGTTGGCAACTAATGCTCCTTTTGCAACTTGCTTATTTACACTTGTTTTTCCCCCAGGGCATTACTTGTTAATTTCTGAGAGTTGGTTTCATGCTTGGGATACAGAATGGTAGGGGCGTCACAGAGGTGACCGGTGGTGGCAGCCCTGTCATCTGCGCTCCCTAACCCATCACCAGCCCGAGGGCACCCTCTGTGCACAGGGAGCCTGCAGGTGTGGCGGGGCTGCTGTCTGCCCAGCCTGTGTTGAGGGGTGTTCCTCACCCCGGCCCATGGCTCAGCTCAGCTCACCAGTCCCACTCAGGCTGGGCTTCGTGGCAGGGACTTTCACTCGTGGGCATATCCTCATGGGGCTGGAGGGCGTGCTTTGCTCAGATAACTAAAGTCTGAGACTTGGGCTCTCCCTCTGAGGAGCACCTCCCTCACTGACCCCCTCGGTTCTTGGGCCGTGTTGGTTGGTGCTGAGGCTCATGGGGGAGGCATGGGGGAGAGGTGTCTACGTTCCCAGTGGCTGATGTCGTGGTAAGTCTGCGTGGTCCCGGAGAGTGGGGCCGAGGGGCCCTGAGCTTGGGCCGAGTATGTGCTGTCCCATTGCTGGGGGTGGTGGTGAGCTTCCCTCGGGCACCCTCAGTGCCCCTGAAGAGGAGGTCTGGGCCTGGCTTGGGAGGCAGGGGCCTTAGCTGCCTCATTGGAAAGCGGTGTGAGAGGATCCGGCCCAGCCAGGGGCTGAGGTGGGAGTGTGGTCCGGCCGACTGTGGTCATGGCTTGAAAGTGGAGCGAGAGGTAGGCATCCATGGTGTTCTGCGGGCTTTTTAAGCACTTATCCCTGGAGCCCCATTGATGGCAATGAAGGGGAGACTGGGATGTGATGGGAGAATATTATGTTGTGTGGCTTGTTTTAAGCTGTGAAATTCTAGAATTACAGCACAAATCAGGAACGGAATATGCAGCCATGAAATACCTTAGCATTTAATAACAACAACAGAAATCAGAAGCTGAAACGTGTAGTGTTGGCACTGTGGCCTCTGAGACCAAGGAGTGGCCCCTCAGGCGCCTCCTGGGCCGGTGCCCTGGAGGCCAGAGCCCTGGAGGTGTGGGTGGCAGGTCCTGGCCTGGTGTATGTTTTTCCTGGTGGCCCACAGCTTTGCTTTCTGTCAGGTGTGGCGGACGAGCACTGCTGTCATCTTGCACAGAAATCCCCTTTGCAGATGTCACACGGCAGGCTGGCATCCCGTGCCACGCTCCTGCCCTCACCCCAAACTCTGGAGGGGCCTCCAACTGCACGACTCACGTGTGTAGTGACTGGGGCGTCCCCTGGTGACACCAGCAGTGATCCCCACCTTTGATTGCCGTGACTTCCAGCTGCTCTTATCCTGAAGTTGTCCCTCTTCACCTGCCGTCCTCCACCCCCATTCCTGCTGGCTCCTGCACGCCAGTTGGCGGGGCCCAAGCTGACGCGCCCTCAGCCCAGCCCTGTCTGTGGGCTGCTGCTTCCCGGGCCTGGTGGTTCTGCGTGTAGCCAGTGGTGCCTGCACAGCCTGAGCTGTGGCTGAGAGGTAGCGTCCTTTCCTGGTTTGTTCTGCATTTGGGGCACTGGAGGGGGTTTTCCTGGCTGCGTTAGCCCCCAGCTTGTGTGGGGCAGAGACGCAGCACTGGCCAGGACCTCAGGAGGTGACCCAGGCAGAGAGCTGAGGGACAGGCGTGGCGCAGCCACAGACTCTGCCTGCAGCTCCTCCTGCAGGACAGTGTCCAGCGCCAGCTCAGCACAAGACACCGCCTGGTGTGCTCCTGGGGGCTGATGGAGCGCAGCCGTGCTGGGGTCTGACTGACTGATGGGGTTCCAGCATCTGGTTTTGGTTTGAAGGCTTTTGGCTCACGCCGAGGTCAGGCTCACAGAAGAGATGCGTGCTTGCCGGCCGGCACCTCCCGGGGTGGCCCGGCGCGTGCTCACTGGCAGTCAGCCCTGGTCAAGCCTCCCCTGTTTCCCGCTCTCAGGTATTGCATTCCTGCTGAGGAGGAGAATAAGCTGGAGGACGTGGTCCACACTCTGCTGCAGGCCAACGGGACCCCGGGGCTGCAGATGCTGGAAAGCAACGTGATGGTGCGACCTGCCCCCTGCCCGGCCCTCCCGCAGGGGCTGCAAAGCCCCTCTGGGGCTTCTGGATTGGGAAGATTGGGGGGAGGGGGCGCTTAAGAATCATGCCCCATCGTAGTTGTAGCCCATGCCGAGAGGACAGTGCAAAATGAGCCCTTGCGGGAGCCGTCCAAACCAGAATGTCCTGTTTTGTGAAAGGCAAGTGAAGGCAGGGTGTTCCTCGGGTCCCCCTAACCTCGGGCTCCCAGAAGGCCCCGTTTCCAGACCCTTTGGCTTTGTAATTGGAGAGGTGGGACCTGGGTTTGAGTGGGCGACTCTGAGGACCCCGTTGAGCCGTCCCTTGAGTATATCAAGAGTCTGCTGTTACTTGAGCGAAGCACGGCCTCTCACCAAGTTTCGGGGGCCCAGGGCTACGGAACTCCTGGGAGCCTTCAGGCTTTACTTGTGCCCTGAGGCGAGCTCAGACTTCTCTGCCATCCGGTGGTCTCCCACCCCTGCCGGCCCCTTCGTCCAGCGCCCAGAAGCTGAGTGCTGCGACCCTGCCTGCCGCAGGACATGACTCGGCAGCCCTGGGCTCTCGCGGGAGCCGGGCCACTCTCTGGCCACTTTAGACCTTCCACATTGTTTCAGGAGTTGTGTATCTTTATTTCCCAAAGGAGAAGCAAAAACTTGGAATATAAGGCCTTCTGTCTCCTTGCCGGCCCGCCCCTCGCTCCCCGTGGCCCACCTTCCCTGCCGGGCTGGGGTGGAGCAAGGGGGACCCCTGTGCCTGAGCCACCTGTCTCCCCAGATCTCCCCGGAGGTGCTGTGCAAGGAGGGGATCAAGGTGCACAGGACCGTGCAGCAGAGCGGGCAGTTCGTCGTCTGCTTCCCGGGCTCCTTTGTGTCCAAAGTGTGCTGCGGCTACAGCGTCTCCGAGACGGTGCACTTCGCCACCACCCAGTGGACCAGCATGGGCTTCGAGACGGCCAAGGTGAGGCTGCGCCCGCGGCCGGGGACACGCGAGTGTCTGCCGTGGAAACGCACGAGTGCCGGTGGCCTCTGAGGCCGGTAGGGGCTGCTAAGAACGTTCTCGGGGACGCAGCTGTCAGGGCTGGCTTGAGGCATAGAGCTTGGGTCCATCGCTGAATTGTGAGGACTTCACTGCAGGTGCTTATGAGAAATCCCCAAAAATGGCCTGAAAATCTACTCTTGTTCAAGTTTGGGCACCTGCCTTGTGGCTGTCAACCGGAAGCAGGTCTGGCCCTGGTGTCTGGTGCCTTCTCATAGGAAAGCCACATTGTTATGGGGGGTTTCATTTGTTTTGAACCCAACAATTTAGAATTTCAAAATTCAGACAGCGCTCCCCTGCCCAGTAGAGAGCCATCACGGCCAGTACTCATGGGCTGCCCTAAAGACACGTGACCTCTTTCAGGAAATGAAGCGTCGCCATATAGCCAAGCCATTCTCCATGGAGAAGTTACTCTACCAGATTGCACAAGCAGAGGCGAAAAAAGAAAACGGTCCAACCCTCAGTACCATCTCAGCCCTTCTGGATGAGCTCAGGTAACCGAGTCTGGGAGAGGAGCCGCGGGCCGAGGCTGGGCTGGGCAGGGTGGGGCAGCTTGCACCAGCCACAGGCACGGCCGGCCCGCAGCCTGGTACCCCAGTCCGCAACCTGTCACCCCAACCCAGGCCTTCACCTGCCCTCATCCTGCTGCCACTCAGGTGCTCCTGAGGTTGACACAGAAAGTGCAGCGTGACTCTTGCCTTCCTGTGTGACCCTCTTCTCTACTCCCTGCCATGTAGCCTCCTCAGCACTCTCCCCACCAAGGGGAGACCCAGGACGTTTGAGGGTCAGCCCTTGGACTCCGCTTGTGCTGCTCGAACCTTTCACGGTAGCAGCAGATAGACACTGTCCAGCCTCGCATGGACTACCTGGGCCACCCCTTTGTAGTTCTGGTGCTTTCGCTATGTGCCCTGGTGGGGTGTCTCCCTGTTAGTTTGTCGGCTTCTGACTAAGGACCACAGCCTTCACTGGGGGGGCCCGGCCTCAGCCCCTCCCCCGGGAAGAAAGCCCTCTCATAGCTTGGCTCTCGTGCTGTGACAGGGATACGGAGCTGCGGCAGCGGAGGCAGCTGTTCGAGGCTGGCCTCCACTCCTCTGCCCGCTACGGCAGCCACGACAGCACTGGCGCTGTGGCAGATGGGAAGAAAAAGCCTCGAAAGTGGCTGCCGTTGGAGACTTCAGAACGGAGGTGTCAGATCTGCCAGCATCTGTGCTACCTGTCCATGGTGAGCTGCCCGGGGACCCCGGTGCCTCCTATACCTGCCTGTGCCCTTCAGCACCAGGACGCCTGGCAGCTGTCCCACCAGACCCCTCAGCCGGAGCCAGCCGGCAGCTCTAGGCTCCACAGAGCACGGGTAGTGCGCGAGTGGGCTCCCCTCCTCACAGACTGCCGCTTTGATCTCAGCCTGTGTCTCCCTCGCACTGGGGAGGCGGGCTCCCCCAGCTGGTGGGACACAGGGCCCTGTCTCTCTGCCCGCATGCCCTGCTCCCGCCAGTTCCATGGCCATCTCGCTGTCCGAGGACTCTGAGCTCTGTCTTGGGTTGAAGGTGTCTCTCAGGATTCTCATGTTTGCTGCCTCCTGTCGCTGAGCGTAGCTTCCCCTCAGGTTGTTTGCCCAGGGTTCTGCTCTCTGGCTCCCTGAGCCCACGCATCTTCCCTCCTCCAGCTGCTGGCCTGGCTCTTAGGGCCCACCAATGCCAGTCCCCTCCCGCCTGTGTGGATTCTTCCTCCAGATAGACACTTAGGTAGTAAGTGCCCCCACAGCCCCTCGAGTGCCTCTCAACTCTGGCCTCGCGTCTGCAAGCTGAGTCCTAACGCTGCCTCACCCTGGTCTCCAGGGCCAGCCCCATTGGTCCACAGAGAAAGGGCCAAGCTGCCACTTCTAGCTACCGTAGGTGCACTCCAGGGCATCGGGAGAAGAGGGGTTAGAAAACTGAGAACCGGGGCCCCACTGTGCCAGCTGTGGCTGAGGTGTGGACACGCTGCCTCCCCGAGTGGAGGCTGAGGCAGGTGGCCTGAGGCCCCCTCCTTGGTTTACAGGCGGCTGCTTCTCTCTGTCTCCTCCTCGTGAGGACGCTAGTCTTGCTGGACTTGAGCCACCCACACGTCCTGTTCACACTCTTTTCTAGCCTCTTTCCCTCGGCACTTTTTAAAAACACAGAATCCAGAAGAACCATGTTGTCTTTTTTTGGTTTAATATCAGCATCTCCCTAGATCTGAAAGATGTTTGTAAATATCACTCTAAAAGCTGCTGAGCCTCTCTCCTCCCCCGCCGGAGGGCCTAGTTCTCATGGGAAATGGCAGTCTGGTCACTTCCCACGAGTGTGACTCGCTGCCCCGGGCTCTGAGACTCCAAGTCCAGTGGTGTGTGGGCCTTCAGCTGTCCTTGAGCGACCTGGGATTTGCCACCTCTGGCTAGGCATCGCTTGCCAGCCACAGCGTTAGTCTTTAAAGAAGATATCCTACATTTGTTGGTGAAAATCAAGGTTTTTATTTATCTTGGCAGTTTTCTTAGAGCACTTAGTAAGTTTGTGCATTTTTATTTGCTTACAGTGTTTCATATTTGTCTGTCCTGGGCCCCAAGTATCCTTAAAAGCTGATGTGGTTCTGCCAGGAAGTGTCACTTCTTCATTCCTGCAGCTGCTTTCTCAGCTTGGAGTAGAAACTGCCGTAGCAGGAAGATAGGTCTCACCTCAGGCCTTTCTCTCGCCTCTTGGCGTGAGGACCATATTTTCCCTTCTCAGTGTATCCGTGCACAGAAGAAGGACTAGATGTTGGCATGAGGGTTGGGGACACCACACAAACAAGGCAGCCCCTCAGCTGCAGCCCCCCTCGTGCGGCCTTGTGTGAGGTATGGGCAGACGTGCTTCTGCCAGCGGCGGGAGGCTTGGCGTGGGAGCAGGAGGGGCGCCTTGGGGCGTTTGGGCCAAGAGCTGGGTCCCTTCCGTGTCAGCAGCCAGACTGAACTGGCTGTAGGCAGAGCGACACGCCACAGCCATCTGGTGCCTCTTGGACAGTGGTCTTTGAATAGGTCTCATTAGCCCATTTCTCCTTGCCCCCATGAGAACCTGTCGCATGAAGGTGCACAGCAGGCAGAGGGACCTGGGCCGCCTCACATGAGCCGTTCAGGCCCAGCTGAAGTCTGTGCCCGGTGACATAGGCCAGACCCCCCCTCACCTGGCAGTGCCTTGGGCCACACATGCCCCTTAGCTCTAGTGACACATGTCAGGTCCTGCCCCCACCCCCAGGGGTGCCTCTCTCAGGTGTGTGCTCCTCTCCCCCCACCCCCCCCCCAGCAGTCGAGGCTCAGGCGCGTCTCCCTCGCAGGTTGTGCAGGAGAACGAAAACGTCGTGTTCTGCCTGGAGTGTGCGCTGCGCCACGTGGAGAAGCAGAAGTCCTGCCGGGGGCTGAAGCTGATGTATCGCTACGATGAGGTCAGTGGGTGCGCCCGCGGCTGTCGGGGTCCCCAGGGGGCTTGGCCACCAGCGAGGCCACGGCACATGGTGGCCTGACCGAGCCTGAGGGGCAGGAGAGGGCTGCGGCTTGTGCTTGCTCTAAAGTGCAGAGACGTGTTTGCCATTATAAGGCTGAAGACGTGTTTGCCATTATAGCTTTGTTGCCTGTTTCCCAGAGCGCCATGCCAGCCCCCTTCTTGTGCTGGTGTGGCACTGGCTGGGGGAATGGGGTGCGGAAGCAGTGGGCGGAGCACTCTGGTCCCCTGCAGAGACCAGGCCATTGGAGCAAACTTCTGTGGGACAGGTCAGGCTGCAGGTCGGTGCCCTGCCTGGGTGGGAGCGCTGGCCCAGTCCTGGGGAGAGCCCCTCAGTGGGGTGGTTAGGGGGGCATCCCTGTGTCAGTCCCCCACTCCTTTTCTGGAAAGGAAGGCACTCAGGCACCAAGTCCATGGGGCCTGTTCTCACTGGCTGCTTTGGGCTCTGCGCTGCTCTTGGTTGGGACTGGGTGTCAGGAACAGGACCAGTGTGGGTTTCAGAGACTCCCCTCACCTCCCCAATAGCTGGTATCTGGATCCGGTGGTGTGCTAGAACCTGGGCCAGGCTTGGCGATCCTCCTGGCCTCTGCCCACTGCCAGTGGGCCCCTCTGGATTGTGCTACCAATGGTAACCCCTGACCAGGCCCGTCCTGCGCTGCCGTCTCCAGGCACAGCTTCCTGTGCTTCGGGAAGCCAGGCTATGGCTGCACAGCATCTTGGTCAGCACTCCTGGCCATCGGGGCTCAGCTGACCAGGGATTAACTTTCAGGATCTGGTTACTCATACCCAAAGCGCCACATTGCCTGGCCAGGCTACTTGAGGTCAAGGGGACTGCGCCGCTGACTGACCTGGGTTTTATCCAAGGGAACCCCCGTTCCTGCCGCTCACCACTCACAGGGCAGACCCCAACCAGCACAGCCACTGTGTGGCTGCTTCCAGGGCCTCAGAAGCAAGTCTAGGTACCAGAGGCAGGGCAGAGAGGCCTCCCGGCTGTAGCCCGACATTCAGGACACAGAACTAGCCTCTAGCCCATTTGTTGCATCCCCATCACGCCCTCCCTTGGGCTTCTACTCCGTCAGAGCTGGTGAGCCCACTCCAGGGCAGGAAAAAGCTCGCCATCCACTGGGACTCCTACTCCTGCCACCCTGCTTGTGACCTAGGTCCTAGGTAGCCGTTGCTTACACAGGAAATGACCCTTAGGGCCCCCCGCCTGGGACCCCAGGGCCAGTGGCCACAGCCAGGGCTTGCCTAGACATCAGACGACAAGCTCCTATACAGACAAACTCGGGTCAGGCCCCGGCCTGCAGAAGCCCCAGCGCCGCAGAGGAGCTGCCTCTCGATCTCTCAAGTCCTTGGGCCCCACCTGCAGACGCCCAGGGCCAGTCAGCTCCTAACATTTCCGTGCCCCCGTCCTGTGCCTCACAGAGCCCATCCTCACTCCCTGGCTCTCCGTGTGCGTTGGTCCCCACAGGCCCTGAGGCAAAGGCACCACCTCAGCCACTGCGACACTGACGGGGCGGCGTGAGCCTGACCGAGCCAGCCTCCCTGACAGCATGTTTGGGGGAAGCCGGCAGCTTCCTGGGTATGGGCTTTGCCCCTTGGGCATATTCACTGCTGACTTGCAGGGCCTCTCTCGGGCTCGCTTCTCTGCTACAGTGGGTAGCCCAAGGCCCTCTGGCAGGCCCCCCACCACCACACTCCGCACCTCCGCCCAAACCCCCACAGCTCCGGGACTGGTATCCCAGGGATAGGTGATCATGCGTGGGGGGCCGTGCTGGGTCAGACTAATACGCCTCTGGCTAAATTATAAGATGGGAAAGCTGAAAATAGATCTCACTGCATCTTCTTTGTTTTTAAAGAGCACATTGAGCAAGGCAGTAACGCCTGCTTCTCTACTTTAATAGCAAACATCAGAACGTGGTTAAAAATAAGCCCTGCGGAGAGTAAGAGCTGTGTGGCAGGGCGCGGGCCTGGTGGTGCTGCAAGGCCTGGTTTGCACCAGACCCTGAGACAAGAATTGCCAGTGAGGCCTGCCAGCCTGGGCTTAGTCCTGAGTTTTGATAAGGGGGAGAGTAAGGGGGAGAGGTATTTAGGAAACTATTTTGCCAGTCTCCTATTTTAGTAAATGAAGTGCCCATCAGTTTGCACGAGTGGAGCATTCTCCTCATTAGTGGCATTTCTGCCCTGAGAGGTGTAAGAGGCGGGGGTCCCGAGACTACCAAGCACACTTGCTGTGCAGAGGCGCTTGCTGTCTCCCCCGCCGGCCCTTTGTGATGCTTTGTGTGGGTGCAGCCTTCGTCACGGGCACCTGAGTTCCACGCACACCTGCTTATCCTGCTGGCACGTTGGCCCACCCCAAGAGCTTTCAGTGGTCAGATTGGTTTTTCTTTCAAATACATAATTTCTGTCCTTTTTCCTTCTGCTCCTGTTTGCTGTGTCTGTCTCACGGTGGGCATCACTGCAGTGTGCCAAGCCGGTGAAGGAGCTCTGGGAACAGGTAGCCAGAGCCGCAGCTCAGGCATTGCCGCCATCCTGGGACAAGCTGAGCCCCCGTGTGCCCCCCACCCCATCAGTTCCCAGGCCTGCCATACTACTCTCCAAGGACCGAGGGTGGGAGCCACTCACCTCTTTAAGCTCCAGTTCAGGAGGGCTGAGGACTGCAGGGCAGTGGGGGAAGGGCCTGGTGCTCAGGGGAGCGGGCTGGCTGTGGCAGGGAACGTCCATCAGGCGTGGCCCAGATGTGCTGCAGTTCTGATGATCTCGGAGCTTTAGCTTATTTGTCTCTTCAGACTTCACAGCCACTGGGTTAGGCTTCCTTGATTTGGGGCGGTGGGTGCTGAGGAGCCGATGAGGGGGCTCCTCTGCAGCCAGCTGCAGGTGAGAAGGGGCGGGTTTCTCCCTGAAAAGGAAAGTGTGAGTCCCAGCGAAACTGACCTGCTCCGAGGCCAAGGGGGAGACCTGGGCCTCAGTTGGTCCGGGGAAGGCGCTGCCTGAGGTCTCAGGACAGGCTGGCTAACCCTGTGTCCTCCTTCCAACCCGCAACAGGAACAGATCATCAGCCTGGTCAACCAGATCTGCGGCAAGGTCTCTGGTAAGAACGGCAGCATCGAGAACTGTCTCAGTAAACCCACACCAAAAAGAGGGCCCCGCAAGAGAGCGACGGTGGACGTGCCCCCTTCCCGACTTTCCTCCTCCGGTTCATCCAAAAGTGCTTCGAGCTCGTCGTGAAGATGCCAACACCCGTGGTCGAATGATTGATATATATTTTTTTGTAATTATTATATTCTAGTTTGGAGTACTTGCCGTAGGATACAAGCTGTCTTTGCACTAGCTCTAAAGAAGATTTTCTTCTGGTTTTAGAGAACTAATTTTGTTTTAGCATTAAACTGTTGAACTTTTTTTTGTACTTAGAATACCTAGATACTGCAGTCAGATTTTGGAAACTGCCGTATATCCACTGTTTTAAAACCCTTGAGGGGCCGTATTAATTTGTATTGCCCCTATGGCTGACAAAAGCCCTTTTGTTTGTTTTGATTTTTTTTTTTTTTTTTGTAACTGTTGGGGAAAAAAAGGCTTTTTAACCCATTTTTGAAGAGGGTGAAGTTTGGAGAACAAATTTTAAAACCACCAGTCATGTGAGCAGATTTTTCTAGAGAGGAAAAGGGATAGGAGACACACACACACACACACACACAAAACTTGAAAAGAAATGGCTTTACTTTGGCTGTCTTTTCTTCTGTCATGTGCAAGATGAGTTTGTAATTTTCAAACCGGAGAACCCCCGTTTGTCTGTTGGGGCGGTCGTGGCAGCTGAAGCGGACTTCGTTTCCTCAGCAGGGCGGTGGGGTCCGCGTGGCGAGGGCTCTCTACCAGCACACCACTATGCAGCTGTCGAAGGCGAGGAGGACAGAGGGGAGACTGCCTGCCTTGGAGGGGTCGCGTGAGGGAAACCTGTGCCTGATTTCATTAGGAAATCCATTCTGTTATTTTTGGTGCTGTTGGCTACTTTATCAAAAAACCCTTCAATAGCATCCTTAAGGAAAAAAAAAAATGATTGAAGCCCAAGTGCTTCGTTGTCCTAGACGTGCAATCTTCCGACATTCCATCTCCATCTCACTGCTTGTTTTCACCTTCACAAGTCAGCATTAATCTTTTTAAATTCGTTTCGTTCATGATCACATGTAGAGCCACTAGGAGGTCTGCGGTTCTTTTTGAATGTGAAATGCATTTGCGCTCATCTTGTCTATTTTTTCTCTTCATGTTGTAACAAAAAGAAAAAAAGATAAAAAAAAAAAAAGCCCGTCCCTTTTGTACATACGCCTGTAAATTGTTTTAAATACTTGAGCCTTTTCTCGGTGGGGGTGGGGAGGGTGAGAAGACAAGATGGAGAAAAGCCTTACATTTCAGTTTCTTCATCGGCTGGGTTGGATGCCTACAGGGTTCTTCTTGTAACGTTTATAAGTGCTGCTTACATCACTGAACAACGACGACGACGAGTAGCTGCTGCCCTTCTCCGGTTGTGTGTACAGTATGTGTGGAATAAAAAAGGGAAACTGTTTTCACAAGCTGTCCTGTTTCATGATTGGACTCACCTTCCCGTAGCTGCCGTGTGCACTGAGCTCGCCAGCGGGCTGTCAGGGCGTCCTGTGATACACTTTGTTGGTTGTTGTTGCAGAAGACTGAACTGTTTCGGAATATTTAACAATTACATAAACAGTCAAGTGTTTTCCAATGTGGTTGTCCGGTTTTTATGGCCTTGCTGTGTACTTTCCCTCTTTTTGACAGTAAACTTCTGCCTATGGCTTACAGTTTGACATTTAATTTATTAGCGCTGCTCTGCACTCCTCCCAAGGGAGGGAGGGACGACTTCATGTTGTTTATTGCCAGTTTTTGTTTACTTTTCAGGTTTGTACTACAAGGTTTAATAATAAAAACAAAGTTTTTTGGACATTTGTCTGTCTTGTGGAAGATGAGTGACTTGACACGAGCCCTTTCTGACAGAGGCCGAGTCCCGCCTCTTAGCCAGGGAGGGCGCAGCTGTGTTCCAGTCTCGCTGGCCGCCCCCCACCCCCCTAGGCCCATGTGGCAGCCCCTCTCGGGCTGTCCTTGCCCTTCGCGCCTGTGCTCATGGGGCCTGGGTGCAGGCGCTGGGCTCTGAGTGGTCAGAGGGGGCTGCTCTGACCAGTTTCTTGCCAGGAGGGCACACAGGTGCTGCTCTCCAGGCTTCTCACCTCCTGTGGCCCCGGTGAGCGCTCTAGCACTGAGGTGGGGCTGGCTCCTAGGCCGCGGACAACTTGTCATGCTCCAGTGAGAATCCACACTGCTGAGAGGAGGCTACTGCAGCTGTACCTCAGAGGGTTTTACTCCGTCCTCACTGCCCAGCCCTGGCCCAGCTCTGGCCCCAGCCACCTTTCCTGCACCGGGGCCTGCGGGAGGTGTGTTTAGCGCCTTCCTGTATAAACTCGCTATGTACTCTGGATTTAGGTCCCAAAACTTTATTGTTACCTGTTATGTCAATTTCCCAGACATTGGCAATTTTGCAAAAATGAAGCGCCTCAGTTGAAGACTCAGGTGACGCCTTCCCCGTGCGGGCAGAGCGGCCTAGTCAGCAGTCGCTGTCATCGGTGTGTAGTGTGGCAAGGGCCGTATCAACCTCCACGCTCTCCTCGTCAGACTGAACAATCGGGGACTCCCCACCTTCTGGGGGGTCCTGGGTGGCCAGGTCTGTGCAGGTCACAGAGGGTGGTGCTGCGGCTTGTGGTTCAGAGGGGCGGGGGACCTGTAGGGGAACTTCCTGTGCGCCGAGACTGGACTCAGGCCCTGCGAACAAGGTAGAGAATAGCCCTGTGGTCACAGCCAGCCACGTGGAATTGCCCAGGGCTGAGCCTTCGACTAAGGGTCCTGCGGTCCTGCGGTTCTTGTTTGCAATCTGGGGGCTGCAGAAGCGGACAGCCCCTCCCACTGTTTGGAAGCTGCAGAAATTGCCAGAGCAACTGGGCCAAAGGCAGGCCCAGCCATAGCTTTCTACTTAACCCTTTGATGTCAGAAATCAGCTGAGAAAAAACCTTATCTATTAGCAGTTCTCCAATTTCATGAGAACTAAAGCCCTTAAAAGAAGCAAAATCCTGTGTTCCTGTATCGCACCCACTCTGGGAGGGGCCATTCCCGTGCCCCCAGCAGCTCAGGACGAGGCCTCCCTAGGCAGTGCTGTGGCCACAGACTCTAGGAGAGGAGGATGAGGTAGCTTTGCTGAGATGACAAGGCAAGATGACAGCTGCCTGAAGGGGACAAGGTGCTGCTGGAAGCTCTGTGCTCTGGCCCCCACCCCAGCGTGGGCAAGAACAAGCTCACATAGTGGCGTGAGGTATGGAGGCCTAAGAGCTCTAGAGCCTCGGTGACTAGGGGCCGAGTGAACACAAAACAAAATTTGGGAGAGGCACTAAGTGGTGAAGGAACTGGCTTGAAAGTACAGGCCAAGTGCTGCACACATGGCGGCAGAGACTGGCAGAGACCTCCCTCTTGGGGGAGGGGGGACCCGAAGGCCACAAGTGGGTGCTCAGCACAGGTGTGAGCCACACAACTCCCCTGCATTCCAGGACTTAACTAACCGCAAAACCCCTACAGAAAGGGGTTCCTTAGAGGGGCGTGGGTAAAGCAAAGGAAGGTTCTTGTGCTCTGAGGGTATCTGGGTAGCGCATAACTGCCAGTGTTTTTCGTGCCTGTGGCATGTGAGGGTGGGCAGGAGGGTCAGAGGCCGGAGAAGGGAGCTGTGGAGACACATGCTGGGTAACCAGCTGGCTCTGGTGGTGTTCTGGGGGGATGGGATATGCCCATCAGGGCTGCGGAAGGCTGGCACCCCTACCTAGGGCAGGGGACGGCACACCGTCGTCTTCTCCTGAATTCAGAAAGACGTCCAGGGCCTCGTGGTCGGAAATGTCCATCAGATCCATCTGCTCCAACATGTCGATGTTCACCTCCATGGAGGACATGCTGCCCATGGGCTCTGGACGGGCACAAGGAGGTTAGACTTTGCACTATTGGGAAGTGAACCTCAGTTGACTGGGCTACTGTGCTTCTGGGTATAAAATGCCTCTTGCTAATCAGAACCGGAAGTGTGTGTGGTGCTGGGACATCTCCCATTTGCTGGCCTGCATCTTCCAACTTCCTTGGACTCCCTCCACCTCCCTGAGGAGACTTCTTGTGCACCCCCCAGTCCTTGCATGCAGGTGCGTTCCTGCATCAGCAGTCTGGCTGTTGGCGTGGGTCTTTCCCAAAAGCCAGCCTTGGGCAGTAGACCAGCGCACTGCCAGGCACCCCTCTACCTTCCATAGTTCCCTGGTTTCTTTAAATATCCCCGCCCTGGTCGCGTATCCCACGCTGAACCCACGGCAGTCTTAACAGACAAGGTTCGGGTAGCTGCACGCTTGGAGACGTGGAAACTGGAGTAGTCAGCTACTCTCGGCAACAGCCTTCGGACCCCGCTGAGTCTGCAGTTCACATTGAAACTCCCTGTTGCCCAGAAAGCCACAAGCCAGTTGCAGTCACCCCGATCAGGATCCACTCTGAGCTATAGGCCTCAGTAATACAAACTCAATCCCGATTTACCTCGGGAGTCGCACCGGCGAGGCCCGCGAGAGCAGGGCATTTCCCCGCGTGTCCGATGCCTCGCACGTGAGTGCACGACAGCTAGAGTGAGCACATGAGCCCGGTGGCAAGGAGGGGGCCCACCAGGTGTTCAGATGAGAGCCTAGTCACTTCCAGAGGAAAAACAATCCCTGAAACTTGAGACTTCAAAATAAGTTCAACTAAAGATTAAAGCAAAATAGAAAGTAAATCCGAAGCCAGAATAAACTCCCACACAAAGAAGATGGGACACAGCGGCTGCAGCGACTCGACAGGGACGAGCGGCTCCTGGTTCCTAGACCTGCTGACGCCCGCGTCCCGGAGGGTGACAGATAAATCCTCACCGCATTTGCTGCAGCGAGCGGAGGAACAGCAAGAACAGGGCAGGGAAGAAGAGAAGGAAAACGACTGACACCTCAAAAACCAAAGCCAGCAGGAGGACAAATTCACAGAGGCCGAGATGGCAGCAAAGAGCACACCATGAGGTAGTATGTGGGGCGAGTTCCACTCGTCTAGACAGACCCCTCGCTGCCGCCTCCCCCAAGTCGGGGCAGAGGGTGCGTGGTGGAACCCAGATAGGCGGGCTGAGGGCCAGGGTGCGAGTTCAGCTAAGGCTTATAAATGTGTGCGCGAAGGTGACAGTCCTCGCGGTGTGCAGCCCGGGGGCCCCACCCTGGAGGACGGCATCAGGTGCTCAGAGTGGGGCAGTGGGAGCTCCCTGGGCATGGAGAAGATGAGAAGACTTCTAGCCACACAAAACTGGGGATGTCAGCCCTGCTCTAGGGGTGCCCCGCTGGGCGCAGGGAGGCGCCCTGGGAGGTTAGCGAGGTCAGCTTTGGCGCTGCCAGAGGAACCCTCCTCGGGCTGTGTTTTCATGTCAGGGTGGAAAGGGCGGCTCCCTCGGTGCTGCCCACCTCTTACAGAGCACAAGATGTGACTTAACAGGAGCTAAAAAGTTCCAGAAAATAGGAAGCCGGATTTGACAGCCGTCACAGCAAACATGAGCCGGCCGTCAGCCACACAGACAAGAACGTGATGGACCTAGTCATAGGCTGCTTGTAGAAGACAGTTACTGGGCTGTAGGAAAAGTCAGGACGCATTTTTGCTTTTGAAAAAGAAAAAAAAATATGTCAACCCAAATACCGTAAGAACAGAGAAACACTGAAAGTCAGAAAATGCAGGAGGCAAAGTCATAAATTTAAGAAGGTGTGAGATAACTCAAAAGAGACTTTAAGGGAAAATAAAAGCAGTATTGGGGTGAAAGTGGGACTTCATAATTTTTCTAACATTCATTCATTTTGCCAGGAAGCTGAAAAATTTCTGTGACTATATATTCTGTGACCATATTTATAAGGTGCCCAAATGGCAGTGACTACAAAAATACAACAAAGCCATAATTTGGGGGGGAGAGTGGGTGGCGCTGATACAACTCTTCAAACCAACTGGCTTGACAAGGTGGACACACGCAGCGCCCTGCCTGCCATGACAGCCTTCTCCCCGGTGCGTGTGGAACGGCAGGAGGAGCTCTGTGCCCTAATGTCAGTCTTAAAACAAAACAAAACCAGAGTCTCAGAATTTTTATAGAATTTGAAAGTCTAACATTGAGTCAAGGAAGACCGGGGCTGCCTGCCTGCACAGGGCGGTGCCGCGGCCCACGCAGCACCCAGTGACCTGGGCCACAGCCTCTGCGGGGCTGAGCACCAAGGAGGCGGGGAGGGCGGCGCCGGGCACCCAGCAGCTCTGAGCTCCTCTGACACAGCTGGGGCCTGGGGAGCCCGACGAAGGCGCCCTTCTCCCTGTCTCCTGTTCCTGAAGCATTTTCAGCACTCTGAGATGCTGAGTGCCCAGCTATGTGCCAGTGCAGTCAGTAATGCATCCGGGGCACACCCCGCCCCAAGCACAGCAAGCAGTATCCAGACACGGCCAATGCCCCACCAGGAGAGGGCACAAGCGCCTTCCGTGAGGAGCTGCTGCTTAGTAAAGAGGGATAATTCAGTAGCACAGCTTGGGCTGAGGGCTGGACAAGCAAAAGAGCGGACTATAAAGAGAACCTAACAAAGCCTGGCCACTCACTGAAATTGACAGACAACAGGAAGCAGTGGCAAAAACGAGGCTGGTACTGAGACAAGTAGTTGTTGCTATGGGGAAAAAAATCAAAATGACAAACCTTTCCTCAAAACACAGAGAAATCAAATAATTTGAGGAAAATGGAAAATAAAAACTTTCAGAATAAAACAGTAGAATGTTCTTACCACTTTATATTTATGCCTTAGTTATACTTGTGTATGAAACTTGGAGGGATTTCCTAAGGCGTGAAAACACAAATCATACATAAGCAAAACGAATAAAGCTGATCACATTGCAAAATACACACTCATTTTGCAAAAGCCACTCAAGAACAGACAAGACACACTTGAGAGAAGGTTTCGCCATCAGCTATGTTTGGCAAAGGCCGCTCGTGTAAGGAGTGTGTGACTGAAGAGGACAACCAGCCAGTGGAAAACGGGCAAGACGGAAATTCAAGTTAAAAATCAAAGAAGATGTCATTTCTAACCCAGAGACTTACAAAATTTTAAGTAACTGACACCACCTCGTGTGGCCAAAGACACGGACTAATCAGAGCATGCACGGGCTGCTAGGGACAGACAACAGTGCAGCGACTGGACGGGCGACCTGAGCATGGTGAAATTACAGACATGCCTCTCTGGTGACAGAGAATTCTAGTGGCAGGCTCCAAGAACGTAGTTCTCAAAATGCGCTCCCCAACTAAGAGCCTGAGCATCTGGGAACAGGTTTGGAACGTGAGTCCTCAGGCCACCCCAGCCCTGCTGGATCAGAAGTCCTGGGGCAGGGGCAGCCCTCCGTGTGCAAGTTTGCGGCTCACGCTGTGAAGAAAGGCTCACAGTCGTGCTTTTTAAAAAGAAGTTACTGGAAACAGTGAAACACCTGTATTCAGTCAACGGGAGCTGATTCAAGTACTTGTGTGGCTGCTTCTCGAAGGAACCATCTGAGGAACAGTGGTGACGCCATTTCTAGAGCGCCTAGAGCCTGCGGAATGTGCATGTCCTGTGATGCTGGAATAGGTACGTGGTGATAAAGGTGTAGGGACGCCCACGGGAGGGTCTGAGACGGTTGCTTGTGGGGGTCAGGTAGTTTAGATGAGAAGGGGGCTCGAGGCTGCCCACTGTGTGGATGGAGCTGGGGGTTGGTACAGGGACCGTTAGCATTGTTTTTGTACAGACTAGTATGTCTAGAACATTGCTAACCATTTCTAAATGTCTAGAGAAAATGTGGTAGAATATGAACATGTTAAATCTGGAAACGTGAGTACATTATTTTTAATTTCTGGATATCTGAAATATTTTCTAATTAAAGTGAAACAAGTAATGGATCACAGTACATTTCAAAGTTCTAAAATGCTCATGAGGGGACACTGAAAATCTTAGTTGGCAACTGTGTTTTGAGATATTTTTGCATTCTGGAACATATTTTGGGGCTCACTGAATTCTAGTATTAACGCATATTATCTCTTCTATCTTTTCTAGTTCTATTAATTGTATCACCAGCAAAACAAATGCTGCCACCTCTTCCCAGGGCCCTGGGTGCTCTCGGAACAGCTGAGTCAGGGTGTGGAAGGGCCTCCCTCTCGTCGAGGATTTGGACTCCTTCGCTGCCTGTCTGGCAGAAATCAACAGGCACCTTAGCTGTGGCTGTGGGAATACGGGCATGGGCAGACGGGCATCTCCAAGGTGAGGTATTCATTACTGACTGCACTGGCACACCGCCTGGCACTCAGCATCACATGAGAGCGCTGAAAATGCATCAGGAGGAGCAGGAGACAGGGAGAAGGGCACCTGCGTCGGGCTCACCAGGCCCGGCTGTGGCCGAGGGGTACGGAGCCCCTGGGTGCCGGTGCCCGCCCTTCCTGCCTCCCCTAGGCACTCAGTCTGCCACTTTGGATTCTCTGGTCTTCAGTGTCCTTCACCCTTTACTCTGAGAATTTTCTGGATAAAATTTTCATGCCTTTGTCACAATTAAAAAATGATGCTTTGGGAAGTGAGAAAAATGCAAACTGCTATTTTCTGACTTAGTGGGATGAGTCCAAAATATCATGTTCACTGTGGAGATTTATTTTGATTGATTCTTCTAAATTAAATGTCCCCACGTTCATCCCTGGAGAGGAATACTTTGTAAGGAAGGTACATGACTGCCAGGCGCTGGTCCCCACAGAAGGACTCTCGGCCCTGTGTGGATACCTGTTTATTACTAGTGCACTTGTGGAAATCTTTCCACTTCCAGCTGAGGCACAAAGTTAAAAAGCTCACATCCTACAATTTGCTTCCTTCATGCTTTCAAACCTATATAAACTGGCAACATATGACCGCTCCTTTTTTTTGTTTGTTTTAAAAAAATGAGCCCACTACTTTTTGCCTGAACCCAGCAACACCTGAGTTCCCTGCCAGTTCATGCAACCGCGTCTCTATGCCGAGCGCCGCCACCCGGCCTTCCCTGGCGCGTGGTCACCGGCGGCCCCGGTGCCTGTGCTCCTGCTGTGTCAGCCCACTGGGCTGTGGCCAGGGCTCTCCATGACAGGGAGTTTCATCAGAGGCACTGGTGTTTGCTTTTGGCTGCCTGTGGGCCTGAAAGTGCCCTGGACACTAAGCAGACACTCAGCAGGTAATGTCTGCGGGACCGAACTGAACAAGGCAAGAGTTAAAATGTTTGACAGAAGGTTCCCGTCATTTTCCCTTCACTGTCCCACCACCTCTATAGCCTCCTGGTTTTTTATGTCTCGTGATGCTCAAATCTGCAGGTCCAGTTTACCAGGATGTGCAGGTCTGCTATGGACTGAAAGCTTGTGTCTCCCAAATTCCATGTGCTGCAGCCCTGACCCCCAATGTGCAGGTGTTCTGGAGGTGGGGTTCTGGGCATACTAGGACTGGTGAGGCCGTGAAGGCTGGGCCCTCTGGACAGGTCAGCGCTTCTCAAAGAGACCTCATCACAGTGTGAGACAGCCAGGAGTAAAGCCCACTCCGCACCCCAGGAGAGCCCCAACTTGCCTCGCCTCTCTGCTATCTGCAGGTACCCTGTAGAAAGGTAGTGCTCCATGTCTTGCTGGAAGGCTTCCTCAAAAAACTTCTGCCGCTCCTTCAGCTTCACCTGCTGGGCATGCTCCATCTCCTGGACCTTCTGGTTATGCTGCGCATCTAGTTCAGCTAAGGAGAGAGACAAGTGGGGCCAGGGTTTGAGAAGGAACTGAGATGGGCAAGGGGCATAAACACCCACTCCTAGCCACCTTTCCAGCTGACAACTCAGGCGTTTCCCCCAGTGGAAATGCAGCAGTGTCCCTCCATGAGCCCCTCAGCCCCCACAATCTCGTCCCGTTTCCTGGCACAGACAGGCCAGGCCCCTGGGCAATCCAGACCTCTGCCTGCGCTGTTCCCTCTGCGTGGCATGGCCGTCTCGCCCACGTCCCCCCCTGCCTACTAAGAGGCCAAACTCTCTGCTCATCTTTCTACCAACTCCCACGCGATTTGCTCTTCACATGTTTCCATATCACTGCGAACAAACTGCTGCAGCTGACTTGCTGTAAACATTACAGTAGCATAGCAGAGACTGGGAGTTCCTGAAGGCTGTGGTCACGTATTGAAGTCTTGGGCCTAATTTGACTGTGACCTGGCTAGGTTAAGTAACGCTTCTGAGCCTTACACTACTCATCTGGGAACTGGGAAAGCATACCAAGGCACTGGTATTTCACTGATAGGAAAATTAAGTGAAATGTTGACAGAAATTTATAATTAACATGAGTAGTGACCCATGCAGGTTGGGACTGAGTAAAAACCAGCCAGAATTAATAACATAATCAGTTTTAACTTCATCATCCAAATAAGAACCCTACACTGACCACTGTATAAAGGCATTCAGGTGCTTTACACTTTGCTCAAAGCAAGCTCTGAGAGTCGAAAACAGGAAGCCCAGGGCTGGGTGGATCCCAGGATTCACCTGCACATAGCCCCAGGGAACTTATCAAGCTTCTGTTTCATGCAATATGGGGGAAGAGTAAGATGGCCTCCAGATGCTGCTTCCTGGGGTACACTCCCTGCAGAATCCCCAGCAATATTAAGGGGAATGACTTACTGTCACAGCAGGTTATACAGACGGCACAGCAAGTGGCATTAAGAAAGGACTGGGGTTCTCCCAAAAGAGGAGACTGGCGTGTGAAGTTCTAATATGTGGGCCTTCTGAGCGGACTCTGAAGATGGAGGGGCCACCTGGCAAGGGATGCAGGGGCACCCAAGGAGCAGAGACCAGGTCTGGGCTGGTGCACACCTCAGCCCACCACTAACAGGGACCACATCTTTGACAACATCCTGACTGGGCTTGGAACAGCTTCACCTTTGAAGTGTCCAGAAGAAACACAGCCTGACTGACTCCTTGGTGCAGCCGTGAGGACTCAGTCACAGCAGACCTCGACTCTGACTATAGAGCATGAGCTAATAAATCAGAAATATGGGCTTACTCCAGATAAACTCGCCCAACTCCAGTACCAGACAAACCCAGTGGGCTGAAGAGGCACGGACAGCCTGAGTCCTTTCCCTTGAGCAAGTATCTGCAACACCTACCATGTGGCAGGACGCTGTGCCCAACTTTTGTGTAGAGGGAGCGGGCCTGCCTCCGTACAGACAGTTTGGGTTTTGGACAAAGTCCCAACTCGTGTTGTCTCCTGTTAACAAACCTCTGGCATCTGGCACACACCCTGCAGTCTACCCCTGCTGCAGGAGGCAGCCCTGTGCCAGCTTGTGCACCAGCTCACAAGGTCCAGCTCAAGGCCACAGCCTGTACATTTCTGTTTTCTGGCCAGACTGTTCTCTTGTTCTCTGGAACCCAGGGGCACCACAAGCCAACAGAGCCCAGAAGTTCTGGGGAATTGAAGCAGCACTCAGCCAACAGGCGCCAGAGGCCAGAGCATCCATTGCTTGCAGCCCACGCTGGCCCTGGAAGAGGCCTTGGAGGCACCTGGCACGTCTGGGCTTGCTGGTAGAGCAGGAGCCCCTGGGGTACAGCAGGGTCTTCACTGACTTTTCCTCTGTGCTTCTTCTCACTCACAGCTGTTTCCTGGCATCACCTCCCAAATGATCCACCTGCAGCCAAATTCTCACCTCAGGTTCTACTTCCAGTCAGCTCCTAGCTCTCACTACATCTCTCTGGGCCCCAAATTCATCCTCTATATAAGAGCCACATAAAAAAAGAAAAAAAATCTCCTAAGGACAGGACTAAATGAGGTAACTCCTGAATCACCAGGGGCACAGCACTGACCAACTGTTGACAACTAGTATTAACACAAACATTATTTAAAACAAGAGACTCTAAAAAGCAAACATAAACATGAAGCAGCTGATACTGGACCACCCAGCTTTTTCAGCCCCACACAAATGTGTTAGCCTCAATCACCTTTCAGTGCTTTTAATGAATGCTCTAGGAAGGAGTGGGAACACAGCGCTGAAGAGGGCGTCTTTTCATTTGCTTCACATCAACCTCAACCTATCTGTTCAAATGCTTCATGACTGCCAAGTGCACTCGAATAAATCAAGCCAAAAATAGATTAAAAACTTCCAAGGAAGTTGTTGCTCTTTCACGCACACACAAATTCCAGAATAATTAGCTCTAAAAGTTCAACGTGGAAATTATCAAAGGGATTTTAAAGAATATCTGATTGTACCTGAGTGAAGACTTTCTATAACTACAGAGATAGAGTTCTATGATTTCAAAAACTTGCGTTGTCCCCAAGGCTAATGCCTTAAAAACTCAATTCTCTCATGTTTATGAATTATGGGTTCTGTAGTTTACTTAATCTTAGATTTTTTTGTATTGGAATGTAATCTAATCACACTCCATCACTCATGAAATACAGAGAGGGCTGGATTAGGGAACTTAAAATGATTTAAAGAAAATTGTTTTGCATTTTTAAAAACACATCAGACACAGTTGCCTGAATTATTTCTGACAGCCTGTATCAGCCCCTGTTCGGTGCCTCTCCTACCTCAGAGCTAATGGTACAATTGCTGGGAACTGTGGGGCTCTGTGCCCCCAGCTCTGCACCTAGGGCCACGTGAAAAGGCGGACAGCAGACAAGACGGTGACTGCTGCCCAGGGGCTGGAAGGTATGCCACAGCTTCATGCCGAGCAAGGATGTTCCTCGTGGGCTGCTCATCCTGGAAGCTCAGCCCAGCTTTTGCCAAGAAACAATCACATCTGGGAGTGGTGATATGATGGAAGGGCAGTTGCGGGAATATTTAAAGTCTTGAGGTTTATTAATATCTGAATTGTGCAATGACTATGGAAAATCTGAAAAATAGGGCATTTTCTACAAGGAAAAATGAGCCTTAAGTGTCATTTGTTATATTGAGAAGTGCCAGATAAATACAAAGATTTAAAGAACTTTAACAAATGGCCTGAAGACTGAAAAAAAAAAGAAAACATGAAGAAGATGCAATGGTCTTTCCACCAGGAGTTGAGGGATCATTAATTCCAGTATCAACGGGGGTCTGGGTTTTCTTTCCTTTCAACTCCAGATCGTTGCTCAAGTTTTATCTGACTGCAACATCTACTTCTGCTACAACTATCAATTTCAACTGGATAATTACTCAAAACAACACACAATCCCATTACCAGTGAAGATGATATAATCAATTCTCAATTATATGTTTTAATGGTGCATAAGGATGGCACAAGATATATGAAATATGAAAAAAATCCATCACGCTCACTTTCAGGAATAATTTCAGCCTACTCCACAACTAAACCTTTTAACCAAGTTGGTAAGTATTAAAAGAGAGTGGATGTCTGAAAGGATGGAAATTGATGGTGTGAGGAAAACCGGGATAAATCTCTCTGTTAAAGGAGAGTTTCCCTAAGGTGAAAATGTTACAACAGAAACAATAAAATTTAACTGATGAGTTGAGAAAAATTCCAGTAATTCCTACATTAAAGATTACATTTTTCATTCAAGCAAATCACAAGTAAAATTAGGTTTAAAAGTCAATAATTTAAATACTTACAAAACCATGTGTTTTTACATTGAGTTAGAAAATATGAATTCTGGATACTAAAACACATAAGACATGATCAAAGGCAAACTGAAATCTCTGTAAATTTCTAACCAAATTTACAAGACCAAATGAAAACTGTTTTTAATAAAAACTGCCAACAGTTTTTATCAAACTACTAAACTACTAAACTATTAAACCACTAAAAGTCCATACTAAATTATACCAATGTGACGGAATTTAAACATTAGGAGCTAATATTTCTGTGCTAATTATTTACATTTATTTTATTGGGCTTTTGACATATGAACAACGCATATATGCACTGTGGAAAAATTTTTAATCATAAAAAGGCACAAATAATTAGGTGAAAATTCCTGGGGAATTAAAAGTAGCTGAGTGCAGTTAGATTTCCTTTTTTTCCCCTGAATGGTTAAACTGTGTAAAATCTTAATACCCAATTTTTGTTTTCTGGTACCACTGAAAGAACTGTAACAAGGATGTGGAGAAAAAGGAGCCTTCATACATTTGTTGGTGGGAATGTAGACTGGTCCAACTGCTTTCTGTAGAAAGCAGTATGAAGTTTCCCAAGATATCATAAATGAATCTGCCATATGATCTCTTAGGTACCAACTTGAAAAATTCAACTAATTTGATGGGATGTGTGCACTGTGTACTAAGTTGATGGGATAGGTTTACTACAGAACTATTTGCAACAGCCACGCCATGGAAACAACCTAGTGCCCAAAGACAGACATGGGTTAGAAGATGTGGTATAACAATGTATACACAATGGGATACTGCTCAGCTATGAAAGAGATGAGCATTTTCCATTTTCAACAACATGGATGGAACTGGAGACGATGATGCTAAGTGAAATAAGTCAGAAGATAAATTTAGGATAGTGCCACTTACATGTGGAATTAAAAAAAAAAAAAAAGATCAGCTAAAGCCAAACCAGTAACAAATCCTAGAGATCTGACTACAGAATTGAGGTTACCATAAGGAGAGAGAAGAGAGCAACGTGGGGAAGGAGCACAATGGACTATGATGAAGGATTATGGGTGTGTTGGTGGTGGGTGTGTTAGGGTAACAACACCTGAAGAATATGACCCTACACCTCTAAATACTTTACATAGCATTCTAAACCAATATTCCCTCAATTAAAA